TTAGCCAGCGACCTCCCTTTTCCAACCAGTGTTTCTGTCGCTCACCGTCCCCGCGCCGAAGGTTTCTGAGGGGACACACTCAGAATGTGCAGCGTGTCAGGCGGTCCTGGGCACTGCGCTCGCGATGACGAAGGGGAGTCGGGGACAGCTACACCTGGAGAGGCGAAATTGGCACAGCGGGCCGTGACGACACGCTGAGACCCCACCCCAAACCCGCGGTCGGCCAGTGATGCCCACGCAGCGACACGTGGGTGGGGGTGGGGTCATCTGGAAAGGAACGGCCGGTTGGGTGCACCACCTGAAGGCTGTCGCAATGCCCCTGGATTGCACAGGTAGCATTTGTTGGAGTGGTCTACGTGGTGAACCCACACGCACCCAGATTTAAAACACATGGTTTGGCCTCGCTCCCTGCAAGAGGTGTCCCTGGATCCTCATGTGAATGAATTGTTTTTAGCCACGCCGCGGAAATGTGATTTAATTGCAGTGAGAAGACACAGGAAAGGCGCTGTTTTTATAACGGCAGGCTTTTGCGGGTTACAATGTTTAAGATGGGCGGGGCTGGGAGCGGCTGGAAGGTAGGTTTCTGTATTTCCACCTGCCAACTACTGAGCGGGCTAGAAGTTTCAAGTTGTTGAGTTCTAGTGGTATTTGGTTCAGGTTTCTGTAATGTAACACGTAACCGTCTACAATTCTTCAGAAGAAAGGCGGTGGGGGTGGGAGGGGACGGTTAGTGTGCTTCCAACGTGGATATGAAACAGCCCAGTGAAGTGACCAGGCTTAGGGATTGAGATGTGATGGTTAAAAGGTTACTGCCCTTTTTGGTGGAACCCAGGGAAGCCCACTTTTGACAGGCACGCCGAATCTCGGGTTGTGGGTTTGCAAGTCCAGTCACACGGAGACCAACAGAGTCGGCCAGGAAGCTGCTGACCAACCAACCCTGGAACCCTCCCCTCCTGCAGCACTCTAAATGCCTGGGGCAGGATGGCAATCCTATGTGCATTAAAAAGCCCCAGCGGGCTCTCACCCCAAATGGTAAAAGGTATGTTATCTAGGATTGTAGAGTTAGAGTGCACTTAAAAGAAAATATGTGTTTGTTAAATTAGAAGTAAAAATCCTCATTTTTAGCTGCTAGCCCCATAAACCCCAACATCAAATAAACAAAACCTCAAACTCAGTGCCTTCAAGTGGGTGCCAACTCACAGTGGACCCTATAGGATGGGGTACAACTGCCCCTGTGGGTTTCTGAGACTTATTATTAGGGTAGAAACCCTCATCTTTGTCCCACAGAGTAGCTTGTGGTTTTGAACTTCTGACCTGG